AATCTATGAACAAAAAACTCTCAAAACAATAACACAAAACTCAAAATATTAACACACAACCCCCCTCACCCTCAAAAAAGCACACAAACCCTCAAAATATTAAACACAAAACCCCCCAAAATATTAACACAACCCCCCCCAAAAAAAAAAAAATTAAAACCCAAAAACCTCTCAAAATAACACATAAACTCTTCAAAACAGGTACCAGGCGTAAGGAACGGAGAAACGGTTTATGCGGAATGGGAAGAATACGAAAGACTGAGGAACCATTCAACTCCCGAGTATGTATGGTTCTCTGGTTCCCTAAAGAATGGTAGGAAATGGGAGTGAAAGGTGTGGTTGTGGTGGTGATGGATGGTGGTGGTGATGATGGTGATGATGTTGATGAATATGATGATGATGATGGTGATGTTAGTGATGATGATGATGATGATGGTGATGGTTAAGATGATGATGTGATGGTGATGATGATGTGATGATGATGATGGTAATAGTAATAGTGATAGCAAAAATAATGATAATGATAAGGATAATGATTATAATGATAAAGAACCCCCGAGTATGTATGGTTCGCTGGTTCCCTAAAGAATGGTAGGAAATGGAATGAAAGGTGTGGTGTGGTGGTGATGGTGGTAGTAAGGATGGTGGTGATGATAGTGATGATGTGATGATGATGGTGATGATGATGGTGGTGGTGACGGTGATGGTGATGATGATGATGATGTGATGGTGATGTTGATGAATATGATGATGATGGTTAAGATGATGATGATGATGGTGATGGTTAAGATGATGATGTGATGGTGATGATGTGATGATGATGATGGTGATGGTGATGGTTAAGATGATGATGATGGTGATATGATGGTGATGATGATGTGATGGTGATGATGATGATGATGATGGTGATTGGTGATGGTAATAGTAATAGTGATAGCAAACATAATGATGATATTGATAAGGATAATGATTATAATGATAAAGAACCCCCGAGTATGTATGGTTCTCTGGTTCTCTGAAGAATGGTAGGCAATGGGAGTGAAAGATGGTGATGGTGATAATGGTGATGTGATGAATGATGATGTGATGGTGATGATGTGATAATGTGATGAATGTGATGATGATGTGTGGTGATGATGTGATGATGATGTGATGGTGATGATGTGATGTGGTGATGATGATGATGATGATGTGATAATGGTGATGATGTGATGATGGTGATGGTGATGATGTGATAAATGGTGATGATGTGATGGTGATGGATAATGGTGATGAGGTGATGTGATGATGATGTGATAATGTGATGAATGGATGGTTGAATGTGATAATGGTGATGATGTGATGTGATGATGATGTGATGGTGATGGTAGTAAGGATGGTGGTGATGATGATGATGATGGTGATTGGTGATGGTAATAGTAATAGTGATAGCAAAAATAATGATGATATTGATAAGGACAATGATTATAATGATAAAGAACCCCCGAGTATGTATGGTTCTCTGGTTCTCTGAAGAATGGTAGGAAATGGGAGTGAAAGATGGTGATGGTGATAATGGTGATGTGATGATGATGATATGATGGTGATTTGATGAATATGATGATGTTATATGGTGATGTTAGTGATGATGATGATGGTGATGGTTAAGATGATGATGTGATGGTGATGATGATGATGATGATGGTGATGATTGTGATAATGATGATGATGATGGTGATGATGATGGTAATAGTAATAGTGATAGCAAAAATGATGATAATGATAAGGATAATGATTATATTGATAAAGAACTCCCGTCTATGTATGATTCTCTGGTTCTCTGAAGAATGGTAGGAAATGGGAGTGAAAGATGGTGATGGTGATAATGGTGATGTGATGATGATGATGATGATGTGATGTTGATGTTGATGAATATGATGATGATGATGGTGATGTTAGTGATGATGATGATGGTGATGGTGATGGTTAAGATGATGTGATGATGATGATGATGATGGTGATGGTGATGGTAATAGTAATAGTGATAGCAAAAATAATGATGATAATGATAAGGATAATGATTATAATGATAAAGAACCCCCGAGTATGTATGGTTCGCTGGTTCTCTAAAGAATGGTAGGCAATGGAGTGAAAGATGGTGATGGTGATAATGGTGATGTGATGATGATGATGATGTGATGATGTTGATGAATATGATGAATATGATGGTGATGTTGGTGATGATGATGATGGTGATGATGTGGTGGTGATGATGGTGATGATGTTGATGAATATGATGATGGTGATGATGATGGTGATGGTGATTGGTGATGGTAATAGTAATAGTGATAGCAAAAATAATGATAATCATAATGATAAGGATAATGATTATAATGAAAAGGATAATGATTATAATGATAAAGAAAGTAATGATAATGAATATAATAACAAGGCTAATCATAATGACAATAGTAATAGTAATAATATTATTATTACTATTATTATTATCATTATTATCATTAGCAGCCGCAGTAACGATAATACCAACAACAACAAAAAATAATCAACAACAATAACCAACAACAAAACAACAACAAACAAAACCTAACAATCGCACCAAAACCGAAACCACAAACAACAACAAAAACTAACAACCACACCAAAACCAAAAACCACAAACAACAACAAGACCCAAGAACCAAGCACAGATACCGATTACCTTACCCCGCCCACCCAGGATGAAGACCCTCGGCTCCGGCAGCGACTACGCCCACTTCTCCTTCTACTGCGGGATTCCCTGCCTCGACGTGTGGTTCAGGAGGGACAAGGTGAGGCCCTCGGTGGGTGGCGCTTCGTGGGCGGGGTCTGGTAGGGGTCTTGTTGAGGTGTGGGCTTGTGTGTGTACATAGATACACACACGCATGTATGTATATATGTGTATGTGTGTTTGTGTGTGTGTCTGTGTACATAGTTACATACATCATGTGTGTATATATATATATATAATATAATATATATATATATATATAATATATAATATATATATATATGTGTGTGTGTGTGTGTGTGTGTGTGTGTGTGTGTGTGTGTGTGTGTGTGTGTGTGTGTGTGTGTGTGTGTGTATGTGTGTGTGTGTGTGTGTGTGTGTGTGTGTGTGTGTGTGTGTGTGTGTGTGTGTGTGTGTGTGTGTGTGTGTGTGTGTGTGTGTGTGTGTGTGTGTGTGTGCTATGTATATGTATTCATTTTTCATTTGATTCCCATATTTTTTCATACCATCCCCCACTTTTCATTATTCCATCCCTCATTTAAAAAAATCCCCATTTCCTTATCCCGATCCCTGTTTTCTTTATTTCCATCCCCATTTTCTTTAAATCTACCGCGTTTTCTTTCATTCCACCCCCATTTTCTTTAAATCTACCCCGTTTTCTATAATCCCACTCACCTTCCTTCGCCCCACAGAACAAATACGACATTTCCATCTACCCTGCCTACCACACGGGCTATGACACCTTCTACAACATCGACCACAACATCGACCCGGGCTTCAGGATCCACCAAGGATGCAGTAGGATTGCCTCCCTCACTCTCCGTTACTTTGCCGACTCCGCCATCATTCCCTACAGTTTAGAGAAGCTTCCCCTGGCCATCAAGAACGCGTTCGAGAAGGTCAAAGAAAATGGGAACGGCGAGAAGTTGATGGCCATCTACGATAAATTCTGTGAGTTTTTCTTGGTTTGAAAAATGAATAAAAGGAAAAAGATAAAAGGTATGATTAAGAGGTGGGGAAAATGAGTAAAAGGAAAAGATGGAAGGTATGATTAAAAAAGTGAAAGAGAATAAAAGTGAAGTGAATGACGGGGTAGTTAATATTGATATTACTGATAATGATAAGAATAAAAATGATGATAATATTGATGGTAATGATTAGGATAAGGATAGTAATAATGATAACAATAGTAGCTGTAATAATTATAATAGTAATAATGATGATACTAATGATAGTGATGGTAATGATAAAGATAGTAATGATGATAATGATTATAATTATAATGATAATATTAATGGTAATAATGATGTGAATTACGATAACAATGATAATCCCAACGACAACAACCATAATAATTACGATAATAATAATAATTCCCGTTTTCTTCCAGCTCTCCTCGGGGAAGCCATTGATAACTTCACTATGGCAACTTCCGGTTTCGTCGCCAAGGTGAACCAGATGAAGAATGATATCGAGTAAGTCTTGGTCTGCTGTTTGTTATGTGTAGATGTTTTTTGTTTGTTTATATATATATATATATATATATATATATATATATATATATATATATATATATATATATATTATTTTTTTTTTTTTTCTTTTTTTATGGTTTTATGTTTTTTATGTTTCTTATATATTTGTTTTTTTTTTATATTATGTGTTTTTATGTGTAGATATTTTTTATGTTTATGTTTTTTTTACTTCTTTTATATTTTTTTATTTTTCATTTTTTTTTATGTTTTCTATGTTTCTTATATTTTCATGTTTTTTATGTGTAAATATATTTTTTTTTGTGCTCGTTACACTCGTGAGTACAAAGTTATACAGATGCAGTGACGTATACACAGATACAGATACAGGCACAAGAACAACCCAAATCCAAACACACACACACACACACACACACACACACACACACACACACACACACACACACACACACACACACACACACACACACCACACACACACACACACACACACACACACATACACACACAAACACACACACACACATCACTCACACATACCCAACCCCTCCCACACACCCCCCCTCCTCCCCTCCCCCTCCCCCCCCCCCTAGTCACATCCCATAATACTCTCCTATAACTTTGTCTTATCTCATAACTTTGTCTTGCAGCCCCGTCACCCTCCGAGCACTCAACGACCAAATTATGAAGGTGGAACAGGTATTTGTGATGCCTGCCGGTCTACCTGGTCGGCCAAGTGTCAGGTAAGAAGAAGAAGAAAAAAGAAGGGGAGAAAAAGAAAATAAAAAAGAAAGAAAAAGGGTAGAAAAATGAAAGATAAGAAAAAATACAATTATCTGTGTATGTATACTAGATTGATAAAAAAAAGTGCAATGTGTAAGATGGTTTCATGAAATGAGGACTACTTATAAGTCTTATGTTATGTTATAAACTCCAATACCCTTTATCACTAACTCTTCTCTCCCCTTTCCCCTCTCCTTCTCTCCCCTCTCACCTTCTAACTATCCCCCATCCCCTCAAAATCTTCCCCTCTCTCTCCTCCCTCACAATTTTCCCCATTCTCATTCTACTCCCTTTACTCCTTTCCCCTCTCTCCCTGTTTATCTTATTTTTCCAATTCTCTTTCCTTCCCTTCCCATGTCTCGCTTCCCCTCACCTTACATTTTTCCTTCTATCCTACTGTTTATCTTATTTTTTCTCTCTCCTCTACTTCCTCTCTTCTCCCTCTCGCCGCTCCTCATTCCCTCTCTCCTCTTCCCCCCCTTTTTTCCCCTTTCTCTCTCCCTCACTATCCAACTCCCTCCTCTCTCCCCCCTCTCCTCAACCTTCTTGTCTCTCCTCTCATCTTCTTTCCCTCCTTCTCTCCCTCTCACCATCTCTCCTCTCGTTCTCACCTTTTCGCTTCTCCTTTCACTATCTTCCCTTCCCTTTCCTCCTTCTTCCTATCACTCTCTTCCCCCTCGTCATCCAACTCCCACTTCTCCTCCTCCTCTTCTCATCTTCAAACTCTCTTCCTCTTCCCTTCCCCTCACCTTCAATCTTCCCCCCCTCTCACTCCCTTCTTTCCCTTCTCCCCTTCCTCCCTCCTCCATTCCATTCCTCATTCACCCCCTTGCTCCCCTCACCATCCACCTCCTCCTCCCCCTTCCTCCTCTCCCTCTCCTCTCCCTCTCCTTCTCTCCCTCTCCCTCTCCTCTCCCTCCCTCTCCCTCTCCTCCCCTCTCTCTCCTCTCCCTCTCCCTCTCCCTCTCTCCCTCTCCCTCTCCCTCTCCCTCTCCCTCTTCCCTCTCCCTCTCCCTCTCCCTCTCCCTCTCCCTCTCCCTCTCCCTCCCCTCTCCCTCTCCCTCACGTCCCAACTCAACCTCTCTTCTCCTCTCCTCGCAACAGGCACGCTGTTTTTGCCCCAAGCCAGTTCGATAACTACGCCACCGCCGGTTTCCCTGGGATCTCGGACCTTCTCTACGGGTACGACGGCTTGGGACCGGAGGAAACGACGGAAAGGCAGAAGGAAATCAAAAGACACATCTCAGACCTGACTATCCTGGTGCAGAGAGCCTCCAGTCTGCTTGAAGATTTCCATAGTATTTAGCGTGGGAGTGAATAGCGGGGGAGAGGGAGAGGGAAGGGGGAGGGAAGAGGAAATAAGGGTGGGGAAGAGAAGGTGAATGGGGAAAGGGGAAAAGAAAATGGGGGTGAGGAAGGGGAAGGGAAAGGGGGGAGAGAAAATGGGGTTGGGAAGGTGAATGGGAATGGGGAAAGGAGGAGAGGAAGAGAAAATAGGGTAGGGGAAGGGGAAGGAGATAGGGGGGAGGGGGAAAGGGGAGGGTAAATAGGTGAGAAGAGGGGTGAGTTAGAAGAGAATGTTGGGGGTGGGGAGGGAAGGAAAACGGCGAGGGGGGGGTTAAGAAAAATAATTGTTTTCTAGTTGTGCCTTAAAAGATTTATATTTCTTTTTAGATTGAAGAATTGTTATTAATGAGCTTTGGTTGATCAGAAATTAGATTATGCTACAACATATACAGTATACTATGTATATTATATATATACACACACACACACACACACACACACACACACACACACACACACACACACACACACACACACACACACACACACACACACACACACACACACACACACACACACACACACACACACACACACACACACACACACACACACACACACATACACACATACACATATTCTTTTCTTCATATAAGCTGTGTAGAATATGAAATGAATTTATCCTCTATGGGAATCAATAAAGTACAACAGATTTTTCTTACAATCAGGGACGCTGTTCTTGCCAACAAAATCCAGACAGTAGGTAATTAAAACAAAGATAAATCAAAGGGTTATCCGAAAGTAAAGTAATCAATTAATTTAGTTACTTAATATACCTTAATGTAGATCGACAAGAGAAAGGAAATTAAAAATAGATTGTTTGCTTTAGTTTCTCAAATATAGACACACGGTGAGAAGTTACAATAAAGTAAAACCAAGCAGGTGATATAAGTATTAAAAGTAACCAATTGCCATAGTTACTTATACTACAGCTAAGAAAGTAGCGAAAGTCGTACAGATTTTTTTCCTATTCATATTTTTTTTTTCATTTTTTTTTCATTTTTTTTCACCAACGTCACTCATGAAAAGATATTCCAAACGTTGGTTTAGAAGATCAGCTGTTATTAATGAGATAGCCCGAGGTACTGCCGGTGTTTTTGTCGTATCTTCTTTCGCTATTTTTAGAAGAGGAAAAAAAAAAAGAAAGAAAAAAAAGGAGAAAATTAAAATAAAGGGAGTCTATTTTTTGGGAAGTTGGCAACGGCAGTAAAGATGGGGGGGGGGGGGTAGTGGGGAGGGAGAGGGTGACGTATAAGGGATAATGATGATGATGATGAGAATAATAATAATGATAATAACGGTAAGAACAATAACGGTTGTGATGACATGCATAATGATTTTATTTCGTAAAATCGTAAGGTTTATAGGAAATAAGTCACGAATGCTAATATATGTTTAAAAGAGGCGAATGTTCATATTAATTGTGTGTAAGAAACCAGAACCTGTTCATATATAATTGTTATTAATTTGGTTGAGTCCTTCACTCACTTTTCTCACTTATTCTCACTTTTGTGATTAGCAGCATTTAATATTTCTAATGTTACCTTATTGCATTAAATACCTCACTCCTGCTTATCTAATTTTTTCTCGTCAGAAAATGCATTAGATTTATATTTACGGTGATCGCTTTATCCAAAATCTGAACATAAATCTGATTGTTTGTTAGACCTATTTTGAAATTGATGATTAGACTATGGTAGGAAAACCCACAATGTACAATGTACAAACTAGATTTATTGAATTAGTTTGTACATCGTGGGTTTTTCTACCATAGTATCAACACGAGTGTTTTTTCCTATTCAGATTTTTTTTTTAGAGTTTATATACCGTTTATATGGGGCGAATTGTTGTTAATATGATTAACAGATTATTATATTTTCTATCATTAGCTTACTCTACTATTGTCCTTTATTCCGTGAATAGACTTAGGTGAATGTGTAGCATAGCCAGAGTATAATACATAGCAGACCCTTCCACTTACTGTTAATCGATCTGACAGATTGTATTACAGTAGAAAAGGTATGAATGAGATTAGATATATTTCTGACGAAGACGTAATCGAAACCGGTCAAATACATCTCTTGTATTGTGAAGATATCCAGTCTCATTCATACCTTTTCTACATTTGTCAACATGGATACGGTTCATTGTGTTACAGTTTTGAAATGGGCTGTTTCAGCTTTCTCGTTTAAAGCTGTTTCACGGAATTGAACCTAAGTATGTGGACTGTACAGCCGGATTGTGTATGAAGACAACATTTATCCCATATGGTTGGGTAAACTGAGAAACGCACATGTGAAACCTGGCGAGCTGCTTCCGTAGACTTTTTCCACGATTTTCTGATACTATTTTCTTCAGAATATTTTAAGATATTTTCCCTCTCTCAGTTTTTTTTCTCTAAGCGTGATTTACCTCTGATAAGTGATGATCAAACTCATATATTTTTACAAATAACCATTTATAAAAAAAAGACCATTTATAGAAATGTATGTAGGAATGTGATTTATTGAATAATAATTATGTATAAAAGTGATTCTTTCATTGTTTCCTATTATGATTTATGATTATGTATGATTCGTATGTAGATATGTAACACATATGCCTACACACACAGACACACATAAATAAACACCAACCCACCCACACAGACACACAGAGAAACAACCAACCAAACACCCACCCACACACAAACACCCACACACACCCATGAAACACCCACCCACGCCCACACAGACACAAAAATACACACAGAAACACCCACCCACACACACTCACCACACACACACACACACACACGCGCGCGCACACACACACACACACACCACACACACACAAACACAAACACAAACACACAAACACACACAACACAAACACAAACACACACAAACACACACACACACACACACACGCACACACACACACCTAAACACCCACCAAATACCTACACAGACCCACGTGCACAACTATTCCAACAGCTAATATTAGCATCAGACATACTGTAGCGATAAAAAACATTGCTTAATATTCACTGTAAGGAGACCTTGATGTCGACGCAAAACTGTTTTCAAAAGCACATAGAAAAGGCAAGTAAGGGGAGGGAGACAGATTGAGAGAGACAATCAGGCAGAAAGACAAACAGACAGATTGAATATATACATATATATATACATATATATATATATATATATTTATATATATATATATATATATATATATATATATATATATATATATATATATTATATATATATATATATATATATATATATATATATATATATATATATATATATATATATATATATATATATATATAATATATATATATATATATATATATATATATATATATATATATATAATATATATATATATATATATATATATATATATATATATATATATATATATATATATATATATATATATATATATACACACACACACACACACACACACACACACACACACACACACACACACACACACACACACACACACACACACACACACACACAAATTGATAGATAGAGAAAGAGAGAGAGAGAGAGAATATTTTCATAAAAAACCCTTACGAATTAATGGCATGTCGACAGAGAGTTTCCAAGTCCGTAAACATCTACATTACTCATTAGTGTAGGTCATTAAAAGATAATA